AAAAATGTTTTTAAGAATCTCGTTGCGTTTTTATTATATTGTTTATAATTGTTTCGGACGTACTTAATACACTTCTAAGTGCAATGACTCGAAAGCGCATTTTTTTCTACGGGGGATGTAATATTTTAGGCAGATGTGATATTTTATTAGGTATGTCTATTTTCACCAATGACGCAAATAAATAACTAGATGTCTAACTTCGGGATTTTTATAAAGTAAAAGTGAAGTAAAATTTGTTTACTATTTTAATCAGCCATTATTATATCGGGCAAAAAACAGTAAATATCATATATAATATAGAGAGTAATTTCGTGACATTATTTCTTTTACCTTGCTGAAGTATTTGTTTAATTCAATTATTTTCATCACAAAATGGTAAATTCTTGTGCTGCATATGGATGTTCTAATAGATATATAAAAGGTGGCACAAAATTTATTCATAAATTTTCTCTTCAAAATTCTGAATTATGTAAAAGATGGATTATTGCTTTGAAACTTGAAAATTTTCTTCCATCCAAACACATCTGTATCTGCAGCAACCATTTTTTAGAACCAGACTACAATTACTTTATCCCAGACAAAAAAATCTCATTCTTGATCATTATCATAAGCCTATTTTAAATAGACAATTATAGACAAACCCAGCAAAGAAATTAATTCAACACATAATGATCAGCCAGAAAGCACTATTGATCAAAATGACCACACTAGTCAATCTCCAACACGATCTACAAAATCTTTATCACCAGCAAAAGAAAAATTAAAAAAAAAGTTAAGGTTTTACAACAAAAATTAAGAAGAAAAGAAAAAAAACTTGTTCTTTAAAAGACATGGTTTCCCTTTTACAATCTAAAAATTATTTGACTACTGATGCTGGAACTGTTTTAAGCATCAGTAGTCAAATAATTTTTTCAGTAACGTCAATAGACAATATATTAACAAATACAGTTCTTGATTTTACTTTAAAAGCAGGTATTATAAAAACAGATATATCGGATCATTTTCCAATTTTCTTTTCTCTGTCACACGATACAAAAACTACTAACGACTGTAAAATCGAAATTCATAAAAGGAAAATTAACAAATATGCTATTAAACAATGTAAAGAATCACTATCGGCAACAAACTGGGATAAAGTATACCAAGAATGTAACCTTGGACGCACCAACTCTTCTTATACTAATTTTGAAAACATTTTCTTAAAAAACTATAATAAATATTTCCCAATAAAAGTAATGCTAGTATATCAAATACTTAAAAAATAGAAATGAAGCAAACCTAAATGCTTACAAACAATATAAAAATTTATTTGAAAAAATCAAAAAGATTTCAAAAAAGAATTATTACTCAAATAAAATAAAAAACTCCAAAGGTGATATTAAAAAAACGTGGGACGTAATTAAAGAAATAATTGGGAACAAAAATTGCAAACCAAATAGTTTACCTACTAAAGTTGTTATAAATAATGAAGAGTATGTCAGTAGTGACGTAATCTCAGAAAAGTTTAACAATTTTTTTGTTAACATAGGCCCTAACCTGGCTACAAAAATTAATTTTTCAAACAACTCATTTGAGACATACATAACTAATAACAACAACGAATTAGCATTTAGCGAACTAAAAATTGAAGAACTTGAAGTTGCGATAAAAATCTCTTAAAATAATAAATCTCCAGGTATAGATGATATTTCTAGCAATATCATTATCGATGTCTTTTTGGAGATACGCAAACCGATCTTCGAAATATTTAAATCATCAATTAAAACAGGTACTGTACCAGATAAATTGAAAACAGCTAAAGTTATACCAATTTTTAAAACAGGCGAACCATCTTTATTAAATAATTACAGACCGATCTCTATACTGCCTACTTTCTCTAAAATACTTGAAAGAATAGTTTACAATAGATTATACGAATATCTCCTTCAAAATAACCTCTTAAACAAAAAACAATTCGGGTTTCAAATGAAACACTCAACCGAACATGCCATTTTAGATCTTGTAAATAGCATGAGTAGTTTTTTCGATAAAAAGCAATTTGTATTAGGGACTTTTATAGATTTATCCAAAGCGTTTGACACAGTTAATCACAATATCTTACTTTAAAAAATGGAAAGATATGGTGTTAAAAATATATCCCTTGACTGGTTCAAAAGTTACCTGTGTAGCAGAAAACAATGCGTTGTTACAGATCATAATAAATATTCAGACCTACAAGAAATAAAATTCGGAGTTCCCCAAGGTTCCATTCTGGGTCCCCTTTTATTTCTAATATATATCAACGATCTTCCAAAAGCCCTAAAAAAACTTGATGTAATAATGTTCGCTGATGATACAAATTTATTTTACTCATCGCTGTCTATAAGCGACCTTTACGGATCTATGAACACTGACCTCGAAAACCTCAACATCTGGTTTAAAGTAAATAAATTATCTTTGAATACAGAAAAAACAAAATATATCTTGTTTTACTCCAACCGTCTTAAAAACTTTATACCAGGCACTCTACCTTCACTAAAAATTGATAACATAAACATCAAAAGAACTGAAATAACTAAGTTTCTTGGAATAATTATTGACCAGAATATTAATTGGAAAGCCCATATTAATACAATAAACACAAAAAAATCAAAAAGTATCGGCGTACTGTACAACGCCAAACCTATGCTTTCCCAAGACAACTTAAAAATTCTCTTCTTTTCTTATATTCAAAGTTACCTAACATACGCTAATATTGCATGGGGAACCCATAAAACTAAATTAAATTTACTTACATACATCAGAAACATGCATCGAGATTAATTTATAATAAAGATAAAATCACTCATGCCGACCCTTTACTTAAAAATTTGAATGCATTAAATATCTATCAAATAAATAATTACCAAAATATCTTATTTGTGCTAAAATACAAACTCGGATTTGTTCCGAAATACTTTACTGATAGCTTTTTTCATATCAACGCAAACAAATATATCACACGAGGAACAGGCAACTTCACCTTGCTTTTAAAAAAAACAAAATTCTCGCGATTTTCTTTAATATACCGTGGCCCATACTTATATAACAAAATAATACTTCAAAATATGGAACTTAATAAAATGAATAACCTTATTGCTCTGAAAAAAAAACTAAAACATATCATAATTAACTTCATCGAAATGTATTAAACGATTTGGGAAAAATAGTAATAATAAAAAGCCCAACTACTTCTACTATATAGTAGATACCAAAATACATATGTATATTTGTTGAACTAGTTCATTAAAGTTTATTTTATGTTTTAAAGGTTCTCAATGAAAAGACTATTTTAGTCTTCTGCGAGTTTCCTTACAACAAAGAAAAATATTTTTTAAGAATAATTTTATATATATATATTCAACAACGTCCACAAGCAAGTCCCAAGTAGCCCTGTGGTACGACGGACTTGCATATATTTTTTAAATGCATGGGTTAATAGCCAGAACTTTATATTATAAACAACGAATAGTTACCTTATTTTGTACACTGTACAACGTGCATGCGCTAAACAGAATTTTGAATTTTTTTTGTCTTGTAAAAATTTTAATGGTACAAAAATTGTTCGTTGTGTACTTATATGTAAGAATATGTAATTTTGTTTTATTGAAATATATACGGATATTTGTGTTGTAAAAAAAAAAAAAAAAAAAAAAAAAAAATTTAACATGTTTTATCAAAAATATTTTAGATGTGGCTTTGACATATGAACTTTGTATCAAAAGTATTACATTTGATGGTACTAGTACAAATTTAAATTCCGTTGTCCCATTTGGATGTAAGTTTGGCAATGTCATAGACAATATAGTTAGTACTTTTTTATATAACAACCAACTGCTCCACATTTTCCTAGACCCATGTAATAATAAAATATATTTATTTTTTCTTACTGTCTTTCTGAATATCTTTACTCAATATATATACATTTGCAAATACCCCCGAGAGTATAATAAACAGTTTAAACGTTATGTACAATATAATATATACGACGCGCCCACAACATTCCTTCTGACGCAACACGTTAATAGTTTATATAAAATATAATTATTTACACTGATTACAACACCCCTTGATCTCTAGATCACAAAATCCGCATACTTATTCGGAAACTTCCGCACACGCGTCAATCTTCTGAGATTCGGGTTGTTCGCGGTGGGTTCTTCCGGTTCTCTCGTAGACAAGTCAGCTACAATGGGAGCTGGACGGACGTCCGACATGTGTCTCGGCAATCCATTGATTTCTACCGAAACTCCTCGTCCTTCATCTGAGACTCTTCCTCTATTCCATTCGTTAGTACATTTTGAATCAGGTGGTTTTACAAATACTTCTTGTCCTTCTGTGTAGTTGTGGAGAACTTCCTCATTAGTTTTGGCAAAAATTGTGTGTGGTTTCCACTCATAGGAAAATATAGCTTTGTAGGGGAGCGATGTTTTCTCGCCATTTTTTCTGGGAGCCACGTTATACCAATACACCATTTTTAACGGATCTTTGCCACTTCTTGCTGCCATGCGTTTGATTGTGCGATGGTGACGTTCAAAAATTCCATTTCCAGATGGCCTGTAAGCGCAGCGAAACAGGATGGACACTCCCCATTCTGCGCATAATTTACCAACGAGTTTTGAGCGAAAGGTCTTGCTGTTGTCAAGAAGAACTTGCCACGGAGGTCCTCTTTCTCAAAATATTTCTTCTAGATGGAAACACACTGTTGATTCTTTCTCGTTTTGTAGCTTCCTCCAAATTACAAACTTGCTCCTTTTGCCACAGTCAATGATAGACAAATAAATCTCTGATTTGTAGTGGGTAATGTGAATAGCTAAACGGTACCAGCTCTTTCTAACTTCAAGATTTCCTTCTTCCCATCTGACTGGAGTAGGATCTACCGATAAACATCTTTCGCAACTTTTTACGACTGTTTCAATGTCTTTTCTACAAACTTTCTCCTTCAGATATGTCTGTTTTATCAAATAAAGGGTTCGATTTATTCAAAAGTGATGAAGATTATGAAACGACTTCACATCAAACGGTACAAGATTTGCTGTCATTGCAGAATGGTTTGAATGCAGCGAATTTTGTGGTACCCTCGTAAGAGCATCGGCTTTATTTTCTGCTGACTTAACCAGGAAAAGTTTTAATTGTATACCGCACTCCTTCACAAGGTCTTCAATTAACGCCAACCGGCGACAGACAAGTGGTTCTCCAAGACCGTATACTCGAATGGGTTTGTCACCGATTATTAAGGATTTCAACCAGCCAACAACAGTAGCCGAGTCACACTTTATGGTAATACATTCGAATACCCATTTTGTTGCTAGATTAATTCCTTTTATCACAGCTTCTAACTCTGCGAGATTAATGTGAGCCGCATCGTCTTGTTTTCTCAGCCACGAGCAGTCTTCTACTATTTCCCCAGCCACTTCTAGAACTATGCCAATAGCTAAACTGCTTGCATCGCACCACACTGTTGCTTCAGAAGTGTTTTTTACGTTCCATGATCCATGAACGGGACCTTCCTTTGTAAGTCTTTCATTTAAACTTTTCACTAATTTGACAACACGATCGTTCACCAAAGTGTCCCATCCACAACTACTCGAAACCCTATTTAGATAGCTGCACAAAGGGCGCAACCAATTTGCTATTGGAAAATGTCCAGTCAGCTGTCCGCACCAAAAAAAGATTTCCCGACGCGTCATTTTTCCTTCAGGAACTTTGAGTATGTTGTCACGTTTCCAAAGCACTTGGTTGTTTTGTTTGTATACTAGCAATCCAAGCACACGCCCACCGACAAGTTTTTCTGGCAGCTTAGAATCCAAGCCATATTTTTTCAAGAGTTCTTGAACTCTACAACTTGACACTATGTTATTATTGACATTGATGTCATCAATAAATAAATCCGTTCCAGACTCGACAACTTTGTCTAAGGATAAAACCTTTTTTAAGATTTTTGTCATTATTCTGGGCGCCACATTTAAACCAAAACCCAATCTTGTTAGACAGTATCGCTGCCCTTCATATTCCAAAACTTTATATTTCCATAATGCTTCGTCGACACGAATCTGCAGGTACGCTTTTTTAAAATCGATTATCTCAAGATTTTCTCCTAACTTTCTCCAGTTGCGATGTTTGGTACTGCAAACATCGCCATCTGCAGTATGACTGGATACAAATTGATTCAGCTCCCGGTAGTCCATCACCGAACGTACTTTTAATTTGATTTGTTGAATTACTGCCATCAACAGAATGATGCCATTACATTTCCCTTCAAACGGTTTTAGCCATCCCTGTGCTATTCATTCACTTATTTCTATTGCGTACTCACTTTTAACGTCTTCTGATATGTGATAGTTTGGAATTTTGTTTGTTAAAGTTGGTGGTTCCATAAGCCATTTCCAAGACACGCTCCAGCTGCCATTTTTGAATTCTTCTACGAAGTCTTTATCAATCAGCTTTTGAACAGTAGGCGTAGATACTTCATTCGTGTTTCCTTGAGAGACTGCAGTAGCGCCGATAGTTAGTTGCTCCACATTAAAGTTTATGGTTTCGCCGTTTCTCCCAACTTGGACACCTCCGAGCAGTCGTATTGCGTCCATACTTAGAAGCATTTGATATTCGGGAACAATGTTGGCAACCAGGCATTCCAACTCGATGGTGGTATTATTTATAGAAAGATTAACAACAGTCTGGTATTGTACTTCAATTGACTTTTAGGGTTTACGATATCCCGACATAAAATTGATTTGGAGCATCCAGTATCTAACAATGCTTTTATTTTTCTTCCATTGACATATACGCGGAGAGTTGGCGGTTTTAAATTTTGTGGGAAGCTGCTCGCACAAAAACGGGTGGCTTCCCTTCCACGTTTTTTGAGTTCGTACACCTTTTATAACAGTACTGGGCTAGGTGATTGTCCATTCTACACACAAAACACCTCTTCTTCTCAATCTCTTTGCTGCAATTTTGACTGATATGTCCATCCTCACCGCAACGGTAGCACGTTATGGTCTTTTTTCCGCGTCCTTTAGGAACCTGTCTTGAACTAATGGCAACCGGATTCACGCAACTGACAAAACACGATTCTTCGCGACGTAAAATTACCAAACTTCTGGATTTTTCTGCAATCTAGCACAGCGACATTGTTGATATTGAGCATGCAGTTTGCAGCTGTTTTCTTGCTTCGTCAGGTAATCCAAGAATAAATGCGCACCTTATCCACTCTTCGCTTACTTGAGACGATATTAGCTTGCTCAGTCTTGTTAATTCTGCGAGATATACGTCAACGGATTTATTCTCTTTAAGACAGCGATTTACGAACTCTTCGTATGCTGTTAGCGGAGAAGCAGAGAAGGCAATAGTCAGTGCAGTTTTCACTTCATCGTAGTCTTCTTTTATCTCATCGCTTAGGCCTTGATAAACGGCAAACACCACACCAGAAAAAAATAAGGGGAGCTTCACATGCAGCTTGTCAACTTTTTGAAGTTTTGCTACCAGTTCCGATTTCTGTATCCATTCTGAAAAATCACCCGAACCATCGTATTGTGATACCAGATCCGCAACTTGTATAACGATACTCATTGCCGAAATAGCTTGTAATAATAAAATATATTTGTTTTTTCTTACTGTCTTTCTGAATATCTTTACTCAATATATATACATTTGCAAATACCCCCGAGAGTATAATAAACTGTATAAACGTTATGCACAATATAATATATACGACGCGCCCACAACATTCTTTCTGACGCAACACGTTAATAGTTTATAAAAAATACAATTATTTACAACCCATGCCATATTAATATAATACAATTATTTACAACCCATGCCATATTTAATTACAACCCATGCCATATGCTTAAATTAGCTAGAAATTCTCTAAATGGTTTGGGTATTTTTATTAATGATGAGGGCTGCTATATTAAATGGAGTTATATTAAAACTTTGTTTGAGTTACAAGAGCTTCAAGGTTTAAAATTTGCTAACAAACTTTCAAGAAAACATATTGAATTTCATTGCCACAAAATGAATGTCAAAATAGCTGGCCAAACACTTAGCAGCTCTGTTGCTGATGCAATTGAATTTTTAATGGTATAGCAGCATCCATCTTTCTTAGGAGCAAGTAGTACAATCCGTTTTATAACAGTTATTGATAAATTATTTGACATGCTCAATTCCAGAATTCCAAATGGTAAACACTTTAAGAAACCTCTATATCTAAATAATCAGCTTTATTGGAAAAAATTTTTAAACACTACGATTACTTATCTGAGCAAGTTGACTGATATTAATGGCATTCCATTGCTTTTACATCGAAGAAAGACATTTGTTTTAGGTTTAATTGAGATGCTTATCCTTCGATCTGTTAACACTTCATAAGAAACCATTTAAGTATGTTCTAACTTACAAATATTCCCAAGATCATCTTGAACTACTATTTGCTTGCATTCGTGGAAAAAATAATTACAACAACAATCCTGATGTAGTGCAGTTAAAATCATTGTTAAAACGGATTCTTCTGCAAAACTCCATTGTTGGATCGAGTCATGCTAACTGCCTAATGTTTGAGCGATATTCTAATGGCTATATTTTTTCTCTTAGTTGGAAAAAAAGGTTGTGTTCTGTTGATAATTTTGACCAAGAGGATATTGACTTTAAAGAAGTGTTTTTGTACTGCGATGAACTTCAAATGTCTTGCTACAAAGAAGCAATATTGGGATATATCTCTGGTTTTATAGTCAGAAACTTGATAAATACTATTTCATGTAATGTTTGTGCTCAATCATTAACTGATATTTTATCAAACGAATATTCCTATGCGAAATCTCATTCTTCGATAAATAATATGAAAGATCATGGTGGTTTGTTTTTGCCATCAAGGATGTTGTTTTTGTTGTAGAGATGTGTGAGAAATTATTTAACTTCTTTATTAGTGGTAAAGATTTTAAAAATCCGAAAATAACCTCAGATAAAAATATAAAGCAAAAGATGATCCTTTGTGTTAACAAATTAATTATTAAAAAAAAAGTCTTTAAAGGACTTGATAGTCACAACATAGAATTGTGGACTGAAAATGAAGATTTCCATTCCAGCCAGCTTGTTAGAAAGATAAGTGAATGTTACTTTACAAATCGAATGTTCAGATATGCCCCGACTATACCGCTATAGTTCTGAGAAAGTCGTCAATTGGTTTAAGACAAAAAACAAATAAATTAATATTGTTCAAGGGTTTATGAATATTTCATTTTATTGTATAAAACTTTTATTAAAAAAATAAAATATATTATACGATGTTTTAGTTTGATGTTCTAAATGCAAATATGTTTTTAAATATATATTTTTGTGGCTATAAAATAGCCGTTTGTTTTAGTTTGTTATAACAAACTTAACATGCTAACGTTAGCATGTCCAATCTTTGAGCAACAAATATGTATGTATTGACTGTATCCTCACTAAATTGATCGTCTGTGATTCTAATCATCTTTAATTCCAAGAATAAGGACGTTAAAATTACCAATATCTTTTTATATGAATGTGATCGCTAAAAGCTTTTTGCCCGATATTATAATGGCTTCCAACGCATTAAATTGGCTTCACTAAAAACGGCGAAGTTAGATATCTAGTTATTTATTTACATCATCGATTTTCACTTATAAATAAAACCGAAATTTCCGTATTTTAAAATTTAGCTACAAATACGGAAAATTTCCGTGCATAATGGATGGATACATCCATATATGGTCATACGAATACTTTCCGTTGAAATAACGGAATACATTTCCGTTTCTTTAACGGAAATTTTTAACAGTGTACGACCACTTAATATTGTCATAAAAAGAAGCCAATTCTCTCTAATTGCTTGGAGGGGCAATTGAGCTTGAAAAGGATCTCACTTCTGCTACAGCATGGGGCTTACAATGGCTGGGAAGCTTTAATTCAGATAAAACTCAACTTTTTTTAGCCAATCGTTATCAAAATATTTTAGGCCTTCCTATATATATAATTAGTAATGTACTCAATGAATCATCTACCATCCATATTCTACTAATAAATCTTACTTCCGATCTTTCTCGGAAACCATATATCAATTTGCTTGCAAAATTAGAATCTGCTAAGAATGCATCTCTTTATCGAGCTTGACACTTTCTAACTGCAGATTCGCTTCTCTATCTCTATAAATATCAAATTCGTCCTTGTATGGAATGCTTTTGCCATATCTGCGGCGGATCTTCTAATGATGCCCTTTCTCTTTTAGACAAGACGCAAAAACGCATTGTGAACATAGTTTGACTTGCTCTTGCAGCCAACTTCCAACCATTATCACATTAACCTAATGTTGCTTCTCTTTCTCTTTTCTACAAATACTATAATGGGCACTGCTCTAAAGAGCTAGCGTCTCTTGTGCCATCTACTAAAATTCATTCTCGTATTACTCGTCTTTCAATTAAGTCTCATTCTTTTTCTGTAACTATTCCTAAGTGCTCCAAAAACTCTTATTCGTCTAGTTTTTTTCCTCGAACATAAGTTCTTTGGAATTTGCTGCCTTCATCTTGCTTTTCTGATTTATATAAATTGCAATCTATTAACCCAGTGGCCACGGACGTAAAAAAAGACTTTTTTTAAACGTCTTATAAGCGTTTTGGATGTCTTTAAACGTTTTAGACGTCTTTTGAATGTTCAAAAGACGTCATTTTTAGGTACGTTGCCCACTAGGTAAGTTTTCTGTCAATCGTTATCTTGCTCTACATTCTTCATCTTTCTCTTCCAGTAACTTCCAACTCTAATTAGTTGTTGCTTGCAGCCTTGTTGGAAGCAAAGATGTTTAAAAAATAAATTAAAAAAATACATTAGAATTTTTTTTTTTTTTATAATCGGATATTGTTAAAGTTATTGAAAAAAATATTTGCTAATGTTTATTAAAAATTTGCGACCACGCTGTATTATTATTTTGCCAAATTACAACAACAACAAAATAAAATTTTTCTTAGAAAAACAATCGCTCTGAAAATAATATAATTTTTTTTTCAAAAAATTTTTTAAATAGTCAACAAATCATATAAAATAAAATTTTGATGTCAAATAGTTAACATTTGTTCCTAGGTAATATTTTAATTGCTCGTTAACTTAATGACAAACATGCAATTATTTTTCACTGCATCCGCCGGCGGGAGGCAAATATTTCAGCCTCCGATTTGAC